TGCAACATCATGTGAAGCATTTTTTTTAATTTGTATACTTTAGGGTAATTAGTGTTAAGCATGCAATAATCAAAATAAAATCTAAGACAATTAGTTCGAAAGAAAGGTGTAGGTAGCAAATGGATCTAGAAGGATTTTTTTTTTTTTTGGCATTTACATATATACCAAATATGTTCCTTCGTATTAACATATCTACCACGTAAACTTTATTTCTTAACATTTATACCATCCTAATATCACACATCACATCCAAAATATCGTTAGTTGATGTTTAAAAAAGTGAAACAGGCCTTTTTATGCATAGGATTAGTGGCATGCATGTAAATATTGAAGCTTAGTTGTTAGATAAGTAAATACATAGGAATTGAGTGAAATGAATAGAATTATGATTATTACTACTACTACTAATTTATAGCTATAATATATTGTTCATGATTGGAAATTTAAATTAAGAAAATCTTTAATTGAGAATATAATTGAGGGCCTACTCATGGAAGTTCTAGCCGTTTGTGTGAAGATTTTTTTTTCAAGGCATGATTGATACCCCATCAACAGATTTTCATCATCTCACATAAATCTCATAACTATTTTTTAGCCAAAAACGTTCAAACTTTAATTAGAAATCATCAATAACTCTGATTTTAACAAATTTACAATCATACCGAACGGTTTGCCAAGAATAACACAATGATATCATAGTTGGCGCAATTCCAACAAAATTAAGTCCACATCGAGCTGTTAAACCATTTTTTAAAACTACTTGTGCCTAATTGGAAGGTTGAAAAGATTTTTAATTTGACAAGCTTACAATAAAATCAAGCATCTCAATGAGACGAATCAAAACAAGCTCAAGATCATTCAATTTCGACACTGCTAAGACACTCAAATGTCGTATGATCAATGGGATGTCTCTAGGTTGTCCGATAGAATGGTCTACATTCTTTTTCTATTTGTGTGGAGGAATCTCTTAAACTCTATAAATAGAGTTATATCCCTTCATGAAAAGGGAGAAAAATTTGAGCTTGGTGGAGGTTCAAGGAGAGAAGAAGTTGGAGTCTAGTGTTATGCATTGAAGATCTAACGAATGCTTCCTGCTAATGTCGCCACCGACCACCATACGTTGGCTGTCGTCGACCATCACCAGGCGCCCCCTGCACGTTGCAGGGTAACTAAGCACGTTGCTAAACAACAACCAACACTTAACAAAACACATTGTTGAACAACAACCAATGTTGCAGAGTAATTAAGTGTTATACAGAGTAGCGACCAACATCCCAAAAGTGGTGAAGTATTCTACAGTGTAGTGCACCATCCCGAACACCGCACAACAACACACTTTAAAGATGGTATATTGGAGTTCCGACAACTGCAACCGCTCCCAACAGCTACGCAACGAATTCTTTTGCATATGGGCATTATAATAGTATGACCATAAATTTAATTTAAAAAAAAAGGAAGTCTAATAGAACTATGATTTCTACTTGAAAAAGTGAAGTTGTTAAATAAATTTCTCCCAGAAGACCTCAAGTCATGAGTGAAACTGAATTTTAGAGGCTCAAACAGAATTCAATAAAGACAAATGAGACAAATTTGGCGAGTTATGGAGCAGTTTCAACCAACACTAACTCAGCTCATCAACGGGTGAGTCGTGTCATTAGGGAAATTTACAGAATACCACTAAATTCTCATCTATTTACAAATCAAAAACAAATTTATATATTTATTTATAACGAAACAGTGTCTAATTCACATAAAACACATGCATGAAAAGAAATGTAATTTGAAATGTTATATTAAGCAGTTTTAGGCCAGAATTTTTAAAATTGTCAAAATAATCTCCACATCATTTAAATTTGGACTAAATTAGTTTTTATAAAGTACTATTAAAGTTCTTTTTTTAAATTGTCAAAAACTATTTTGACACTTCTATAAACACTGAAGCTAAAAAGATTTAATATAAATAATCGGGGACTATTTCTCCACCTCTACAGGGTCAGAATTGCCACTTTCATCTTCCAATGTCCACTTACACTGTAGGTTGCGCAAGTTTTGAGTTTTAGAGCTAAAAAAGATGTACCTTTAAGGTTTTTAAGGATAAAGGAGGAAGAGCCATGCCCACTGTTTCCCAGGATAAAGTATTAGAAATAGGTGAAAGATGTTTTATATTGTGGACCCTTACTGTTTAACACTACCAAGAAAAAACTTGCTACTTAAATGTAATCTTGGATCATTTCATTTAAAGAATTTTAAAAATATTATATATATATATATAATTTTCCGATCCATGTTGTCATTCCGCTCTGTTAGGGTTTCGCCCCATAGCGAACCCTAGTGTCGTTCGCTTCGTCACGCGCTCGATATATATATATATATATATATATACATATCCTAATTTTAAATGTAAAAAGAGCATAATATTCTGATTGCATAAGAGAGATTAGAATTATAATTCTCCATAACCAGATTATTATGAAATATATAAAAATAACAACAAATAATCGTGTGAAAAGGCAAAAAGTTATTAGGAAGATTTACACTATACATACCGACTCAACTCTATGTATTTACATATTCAACATCTAAACTTCTATTTTTACATACATGCGAGGGAGCTAAGTATTTAGAGACGTCAATTCTACGAAAAAGTATCATTTGTGGACTCAACTCCTCACATACAAACATTCAACCAAGAGCTTCTATTTAGTTGTGTACAAATTGCTGATTTGACTAACTATATATATTCTTATGTATTTGCATATCTCACACATAAACTTTCATATTTACAGACATAGCACCCAAATATTTCACATCAAAAAAGTGAAACACATGTTTTCATGCATATGTTTAAAGCATCAAAATATTATGTATATAAATATGAAAGTTTAGGCATGAGATTTAAAAGTACATTAGAATTATTTTGTGCTACTTGTGGAAATTTCCCTTCAAATAAAAAGTGAATGCAACAGAGCTATTTTCTCTTAATATAATGCCATGAAAGCCCTAATTTACCGCCGCCAAAACTAATCATTTGATGATGATAATTATATAAATATGAGAAAAGGCAAGCATGAGGAGGCCTACAGGAAGCAAGCAATGGGGACCTTCTCTATGGGAGAATATCTCATGTCTCAACCACCAACCATTGTGCCAGCTATAAAGCACCAAAAAGAAGAACTAGAATCATCTAGTGCTTTGAATTAAAAGCAACCAAACCAAGAAGGAATAATGAGCTATGAAAGTTACGGAAGGTTGTTCAAAACCATAGAATAGGCTTCAAGATTCGTGTCAGGTAAGATGATCAATCATCTTAAAAGTTGAGTGAATCTTAAAGCATAACAATAACAACAATAACAATAAGCCTTTATCCCACTAAGTGGTGTCGGCTGCATAAATCATTTTTCTCCATTGTCTTATTGTGTCATATTTTTATTTAATTCTAATAAATTAAGATCATTTATTATACAACATGTCCAAGTCTTTTTAAGTCAACCTCTAACTTTCTTAACATTAGCCGAATTTAAAACATCTACTCTCCTTACTGGATCATTAGATGGTGAAAGTTTAATGTGATCAAATCATCTAAGACGACTCTCTCTAATCTTGTCTGCCATTTGAGCTACACCAACTGAGCTACACCAACCCTCACCAACCCTTTAACGAAGACATCCGTTTCGCATTTTTGCTCTAAGTATCAAAGCCACTCATCCACGTAAGCATTCTCAATCTCAACAACACTTAACTTATTCTTTTAAGTCTAAGTGGTATTTTTATCACAGAATAGCCATCATATAGTTTTAGAAGATTTACATACATACCCAACTTAATTCCTAGGTATTTATGTATCTAATAAACTTCAATCTTTACATATATGCCACCTTACCTATGCATGAGAAGGTTTAGTTCACTTTACTTTAAGTTAAAGTTGTGATATTTTTGATGTGATATGAAAGAGAAAATTTTGGGTGGTATAAAAGTAAAAAGTAGATTTTAGGTGTTAGAAATGTAATACATAGGAATTGGGTAGTATGTACGTAAATGCCCCTACTAATTTTCCAAGGGACTCATCAGGTTCCAATAAATCGGTTGATGCAGCTCATTCCAGGAATGGAAGCAAGTCACGTACAAATAGTCCCACATTGGCTAGGTGTAGGGCCAAAAAACAGTATTTAAGGCCTGGGCTGCCCACCACCCATAAGGCTCTTTTGGGAGGTGACAGACTGCTTACCTCTCGAATCGTTGGTGCTTATCTTTTGTATTCTTCTTATATTTTACATGTAGACATGACAAAAATCAAGATAGAAATGTCAACTTTATCGACTTATATTTCAGGACAAATAGTCCCACACTGGCTAGGTGTAGGGCTGAAAAGCAGTATTTAAATCCTGGGCTGCCCACCACCCATAAGGGCTCTTTTGGGAGGTGACAAGTGGACAGCTGGTTCTCGTAAAGAAATCGAATAAGACGGGCTTAATTATAAATAGAGAGTAGTCGACAAATAAGCCATTTGCCATCTTTACTAAATCAGGAACAGGAACAGAAATAAATTGGGTGAGTAGCCAAAGAGAACTTAGTATGATCTGATCCAATTAATGTATTTGCATACATGCCACTCAATTCTCATGTATTTACATATCTAACACCTAAGCTTCAATTTTTACATACATGTCACCTTATCTACCGATGGAAAAGTGTTTTTCACTTTTTTTTTTAAACTAAAACAGTGGTATTTTTCATGTGATGAAAAATTTGGGTGGTATAAATATAAAAAATAAAGTAGAGATGTTAGATATAATTGGGTGGAATGCATGTCAATGACCTATATATATATACATACATATAT